AGCATCAGTCCTGAGTGATTGGCTGTCTTCAAAGGAACCAAGAAGCAGGCAATGAGAGAAATAGCTCAAGCACATGGTTTGGGAACAGCAAGCAGTGACTCTGTTTGCTTTAAGCAGAGGGTTGGGTCTTGTGCTGCTGAAATGGGCAACAAAGCATTGAAAGAGTTTCTGAATAAGGCACTAACATAACCCGTGTTCTGAGATGTAATTTCCATTAAGACAGGGACATTGTTTTCTTCCCTGCTATATTCCCAGTGCCTTGGCCAGGGCCTGGCTTGTGGAAGAATTTCAAAAAACATTTGTGAATGAGTAATTATGGCAACAGCATGCTGGACAGAGATGGCTCACCTCTCATGTCTCTGTGGGCACATTTGTGAAAAAGTCCTTTCACCCTTTCTCTTCCAGTAGATGCAACTTAAGGCACCCCTGACCTGGGTTACAGGAATGCTAAGGATTTTTAATTTCATTTCTATATGGATAAAAGACAAACAGAAGCAGAAACAGTATTCCCCTACCTTATCTCCTTAGCTGATCCCTCCTAAAGCAGATGACCGATAAGACTTTGTCATGGTATCCTGCATAACAACATGCCCCGGTAACAGAGAACCACCTTATGGCGCTGAGCACGACTCAGGGATATAGGTCATCGTTTTTTTTACAGTTTTACTGTGCATATAAGGGTGAATGAGAACAAATCTAGCCCAAATTTATTCTAGCCCAATATTTTTCCCAGCCCAATATTTTTCCCCACTATCCCGTCACCTGAATCCTCCTAACCCTCGTCATACACTCGCCCCCTCCTCATTTCTCTGTATTAAAAACTATACCTCTATCCGCCAAGGTGCTCAGGCATAGTCTTTGATTCATCCTGTATTTTTACCTACCCCATCCAAACCATCAAGCCTTCTACATTTTAACTTCAGAACACATCTGCTTCTTCTCATCTTCCCTCTCCTTGCCACAACCATTTCATCCTGAGAGTGCTGAAATGGCCACCTCCCTGCTTTCTTGATTTACACTCTTGCCCTTGTCCAATTTACTCTTCACACAGCAGAAGGAGGGATCTTCTTAAATGTGTATCAGATCACATCATTTCTCTTCCAGGACTTCCACGTGCATTTAGAATAAAACCTGGGCTCTTCTCTCTCATGCAACTGAGTAAATATGAATGGAAAATACAGGACTGGCTTCCCACAACTCCACCCAGAACTGAGCCAAGGGGTTTGCTTTGATTTCTCTTCACTTTAGTTTCCTCATTTGCACAGTAAAATGCCTATTGTTAGGCAAGAATAACTCAAAAACCCATCTCTTTCTAAAACTCTATTATTTTATTGCTTTTGATTGAGATGCTAACTGGACCTTAATCTCCAAAATCAACTGCATGGTTAAGAGTTCTTACCTCTCTCCTGTCCCTGTTCACTGTAGTCTGTTCTCTGGAACTCAGAAGCAGAATAAAAAGAAGAAAAAGAAGAAAACTGGCCCAGGCCTGGTCCCTTTGGGTCAAGTCCCTATCTACCATTGTCCCCATGTGCCTCTCAGCCCCTGGCCTCCCACTCAGGTTTCTGTCCTTGTCACTGTTTATATTCTCTAATAAATGGGAGCTCATCTCCACTTTTTCTCTTCCAAATTAACAAGGACCTTTACGTCATTGTCCAGGTTTGCTTCCTAACTGACTTCCCTCTACCAAGTCTCCCTGTCCCTCTGACTAGGTCAGATGTGCTAGCACAAACCATAGGAATGAGAAAAGAACAGGAATAACAGGTAAAGAAAACAAGATGGAACAAGTCCTAAGTAGGTCCATTATAACAGAGCCAATATCAGGCATTTAATAATGGGTAAAAAAAAGTATATGAGATGACTGAAGAATAAAAATTGTATAATTGCACATAATTAAAATTATGAATCAAATTAGTCGGAGACCATAAATGAGTTGAAAATAAGGTACTCTCTGAATTCATGGCCATTAATATCAAGTAAGCTGAGATCCTGCGAGCCATGTACAACAGTGGCAAGCATGCGCACTAACACTCCTTTTCTGATGGAGGAACCTCCGCCTGATTCTCCAATTAACTTGGGTTAATCTATTTCTCAGAGCTGGAAAGTGGAAAGGAAAGAACATAATTGAATCGTTAGGATATTCCTCTAACTGACACAACATCAGAGTCTCGGAATAGCGTGGAGAAAGCTAACAGGGATTTCAGTCCTGTTTCTGCCATTGGCAAAGTGAGTGATCTAAGCCAAACCACTTAACCTCGCTGAATCCTACCTCTTCATCTGTAAGTCAAGGATTTAAAAGACACACAATGTTAAAAAGAGCAGCTTCAGCCTATGTTTAAAGGAGCTCTTTCTCAGGAGTCAGCGAGGACAGCAGATGAAAGCCTGGCTGTTCTGATTTAAGAGGGTCTCAGAGTCTTCCCAGCGCCACCTGATCACTCCCGCACACCCCACCCAGCTAGGATTTGGCCACGCACCAACATATATGCTGAAGGCCACTGAGAATCAAAGATTACCCACAGGGGATGGTAGGCTGGAGCTAGTTAGACAAGACTGTCATTCCACAGTGGTTAAGTGGAGTAACATAATGCAGACAATATAAATAAATTTTACAAATCAGTGAAAAGGACAGTTGTATATAAAAGCAGTCAAATGATTTCAATAGACACTTTGCAAATGCAGTTTTCAAATGGGAAAGCAGCCTGTGCAGGGGTGCTCAAAACTCATTGGCCATCACAGAAACAAAGTAAAACCACAACCACCATACACCCAAACAAACGGCTTTAACAAAATACTAAGTGTTAACAAAAGTGTACAGCTGCTGAAACAGCCATTCGCTGCCTCTTGTTGTGTACATTGGTAATTTCCCTGTACATTGGAAAACTATTTGCAATATCTTCAAAAACTCAATCTACACCTATGACTCAGCCCTCCCACTCCCAACAGAAATAGAAATGCTTTATAATGTGGACTGAAAGACACATACAAGAATGACAGCAGCCACACTATTTTGTAACAGCAAAAACTAGAAGCAACCCAAATATCCACTGACAGTACAATAGACCAATAAGTTGCAATTTATTCATACACTGGGATGTTTCACAGCAGTGAGAATGACCTGCTATAAAAAAAGACAGAAATGATTCTCATACATCAAATCCTGAGAGAAAGAAGCCAGCATAAAAATGACAGATGTAAAAAAAAAAAACAGAGAAAACTTATTAATGGCAATCAAACAGAGTAATGGTAGCTTTTGGGGAAAGGGTGTGGTGTCTAAGAGGGACACAAGGAAAGGCTCTTAGGATTTTGGTGATGCTCTGTTTCTTTGTGGGATGATAGTTATTTAGGCATGTTCACTTTGTGAATATTCATAGGGTACAACAGTAAGAAACTATGTGATTTTCTGCATATATGTTACACGTGTATTTATATTTAACAATAAATTACAATTTTTAGTGATTAGTTTTTCCAAGTAACCTATTAAAAATGAAAATACTACCCTCATCATTATAGTTTCATTTCTGCTCTTCTCACTCTTCCTCAAAAGGAATATGAAGCATAGGGCTTTGCTAAATCTAACAATATCTGTGCTAGATAGCAAGCCCCACTAGCAAAGGAGCTAATCTTTTAAATTTATGTCTTCCGTAAGACTAAGCACATGGCTAGCCGAGCAATTAGTACCCCATAAAAAGCAGTAGATTTTGAATTCCTGCAAGGAAGTCCTGAGTTGTTACAATCTGCTTAGTTTTCCCAGAGTTCTTTATAGTTATTTAGAAATCTCACTACTACTAAATTTTCTGTGTAACTTGTCATGATTTTTGCAGTGTGGCTAATGAACTTGGCCTATTTAATTTCAGGCACCTAGTTACCTTGATAGGAAGATCATAATTATTCAAATGAGAAAAGGATCTAATTACTTTGGCCCAAAATGAGCGGTAATCTCTCTCTCTCTCTCTCTCTCTCTCTCTCTCACACACACACACACACACACACACACACACACACAACTGTTTTCAGAAAAACCACATTCTTCTATTTATTTTTATTTTTATTCCACATTTTTCTCACTTCAAATTCCCCTTCAATCTTTGAATTCAACCTTAAGAAGCTGATAGAAAGGGTTAGAAGCAGAGGTCATAGGGAGAGTGAGACTTTTCTTGAATAAAATGTTAAAAATATTAAAAGCTATGTTTTATGAATTTTATTTGGGGGAATTTTGGTTAAAACACATGTGTCTAGGAACAACAACAAAAAAAGGCAGCAGTGCCTTATTTTTTATTCACTCTATTAAATCAGAAATACTTTCAAAATATCTTATGAAGATTCCCATATCAACACAGTTATATCTTCCTGACAATTGTGGCATGTTGTATCTTTGCTTTTCTTATAATTTTCACAGAATGAACAGTGCTGTTATAAAAGTACATTGTCTCAGCTAAACAGAAGCCATTAACATTTTATAAATTAACAATAAAGAGTAAAAACAATTTATAAATCAGTTCCTGCTGCAATGTTTGGGACATTATATAAAGAGTTAAGGACAACAATGAAATTACCATAAAGTTAATTACCACAAATTTAATAAAATAAACTAAAGTCCAAAACTGTTATGCTGTTGCAATGGAATTTTGCTGTGCTTAGAAATACTAATGCTAAAGAGCTAGATCTAGAAATTTAAGCAAAATCATTAAATATGGTAAATCCTGGTACTTATTTTCAGGTTTCTTTTTTCTCAAGGACCTTGTAAAAACTAGCTCATATTTATCAGCTAGGAAATGGTTTTGGAGAGTTTCTGTTTAAGGAACAAGTTCAAGTAATACAATTTTTTAATTTAAAATTGTACACAGTCCCAGGAATGGCGTTCTTGTTAGCCCTTCATTGTATGCGTGAGGAAGAACAGCATAGGGATGTGGTTTGTTCAACTCGATGCTGAGTTTGTGAATGAACTAGACCCAGATTCAGGTCTTATGGCTCCTGATAAAGCACAATTTCCCCTGACAAAATACCTTCCAGGAATCAGTATTTCCCCTGCATGAACTCTTTCATCTTGAATCAGTCCTTTTTCCGACTTTGTTCTAACGGAGACAATAGAACATCATGGTGAAGAGCAAAGACCCTAGTCTCAAGGAGGCTGAGTTCCAGTCCAGCTTCTCCACTTCCAAACCACCTCATGGGACTAGTTTGTCCCAGTTTGCCTGGCATTTGACTGGTTTTAAAACTGAAGACCCTGAGTCCTTGCAGCTTGAGCTCTTTCACCTGTAAGTTACGAATAATAATCCTCTTTAACATCACAGTGCTGCTGCAAGACCAAATGAAGGAACATATGAAAACATTTAGCACCTAGTCTGAGCCTCCTCACGGTAAGCATTCATTTCCATATCTGTCACTTCCTCTGAGGTCTCTTTCCATGTTGGAGATATAAAACTCAAGAGGTCCAACATTGCATCATAGGCATGCCGGGAGGAGGGAAGCAGCAAGAAATTGGAAATCTATTTGAAAAAATAATAAAAGAAAACTTCCCTAATTTGGTGAAGGAAATAAACATGCAAGCCCAGGAAGTACAGAGAGTCTCAAACAAGATGGATGCAAAGAGGCCCACCCCAAGATAAAATGTCAAAGGGTTAAAGATAAAGAGAGAATCTTAAAAGCAGCAAGAGAAAAGCAGTTCATTTTTCTAGAAAAGCAGGGGAGTTCCCGTAAAACAATCTGCTGACTTCTCAAAAGAAGCTTCTCAGGCTAGAAGGGATTGGCAAGAAATATTCCAAGTCATGAAAAGCAGGGTCCTACAGCCAAGATTGCTCTACCTACCAAAGCTATCACATAGAACCAAAGGGCAGACAAAGAGCCTCCCAGACAAGAAAAAAACTAAAGGAGTTCATCATCACCAAACCATTATTATATGAGATGTTAAAGGAACTTGTTTAAGAAGATCAAAACTATGAACAATAAAATGACAAAAAATACATATTGATCAACAATTGAATATAAAAAACAAACTAAGCAAACAAGAAGAACAGAGACAGAACCATGGCTACAGAGACTGTTTTGATGGTTGCCAGATGGGAGGGGGGGTGGGGAATGGGTGAAGAGATGAGGGGATTAAGTACAAATAGGTAGTTGCAGAATAGCCTTGGGGATGTGAAGTACAGTACAGGAAATGGAGCAACCGAAGAACTAATACACATGACCCACGGACATGAACAATAGTGGGGCATTGCCTGAGGGAGTGGGCAGTACCGGGTGGAGGGGGGCAAAAAGGGAAAAACTAGAACAATTCTAAGAGCATAATCAATAAAATATAATTTTGAAAAATAAAAACAAGTAAGAGTGATTTCTAGAAACCAGAGAAGCAGCAGACTTGAAGAGACTGGGAACAGCATAGAGAGAGATCATTAAGAAGTAAGGAGAGTACCTCAAGGCCACATCAGTGAACGTAATCAAATAAGAAATGAGGGGATTCCAGAGCCACGACCACTTGGAGGGATCAGTAGTGCATTCTACTTGACTCTGTAAGTATATGTGGATTCTATAAAGGACTTTTTATAAAATAAGAAAGAGGAAGTAAGGATAAAGGATAATAAGTGTACAAAGAGGGACCCCCCCCAAAAGAAATAGAATTATCTTCTGGAGGACAGGCCACTTATAATTCAGGCTTCCACCATTAGGTGAGTGTTCTAGGAACCCATCTGTATCAGTGCACCAGCTGGCGTTCTTGTGAGAGGCTGCGTTCAGCTTCAGTGAATTTTTTTGGAAGACTCAACGCATTTGCCCATTTCATGATGGGTGTTTTACGAGCACAACTGCCCACTCCACGCTGAGTGTTAAGCAGTTTTGGACCCAAAATGGCATGATCCCCATGACCCACCCTCCCTATTCACATGGCCTCACCTCAAGCAATTTTTTTGTTTGTTTGTTTCCCCGGATGAGGAAAGTCCTCAAGGGGAAATGTTTTGCCAGTGTAGAAGAGGTGAAACAAAAAACAGCAGAAGCACTAAAAGGCATCAAAATCAAAATCAACAAGTTCAAAAACTGTTTGGAGCAGTGGGACAACTGTCTTGATAGGTATATCGCATCAAATAAAGAGTACTTGGAAGGCAAACAGCTAAGAATAAATACACAATTTTTTATCAATAAATTCCAGGGATTTTGGGTGTCCCCCTTCATATTTTGTCTGCTACATGGGATAACTTTAGAAACATGAAGAATCCCCAAAAGAGCTAAAACATATCCATAATTACCATGCCATTGATGCATACAGTCAAACATCTAGCATTCATGTCCTTCTAGGAAAACAAACCCCTGGGAGAAATAACACACTGAACAACAAATATCAAAGCAATTATCTTTTTCTCCCCAATATCTGGTCGAATGCTTTTCCCTAAGGAATGAGACAGGCATAAATAAGTGAGGAGTATACTGTCCGTCATGGTCTAGAATCAGAAGGAGAAAGCAAATGGAGAGTGGAGAGGGACTGACGCTGTGTGTGCTCTCCCAGCCTCAGGCACAGGCGGAGGCAACCTGGACTTCAGCTCCAGGGGATACCCAGGACTCAGCACAACCCCCCTGTGAGGCTGGGGATCAGAGCCACGCCTGCTAAAAACCATCAAAGGAGAGAAAGCACAGCAAACAACTTCCAACTGCTGCTTGGAGCAAGGACTTATCGTAAGCTGCGTTCTTGGGGAGGCAGAGCATACAGACATATCTCACCATCAGAACGCAGCCATGCCAGCCACTAGGTCAGAGGCAGGATTTGAAACAGTGTCACCGTCACAGAGGCAGGAGCCCCAAGGAATGTAAGGCCGGGTTCTGGAATGGGAAACCCAATGGCAACTACGACACTGTGAATCAGAAACCAACACTGTCTCACAAGCAATTGTCTGCAAGGCTGAGAGGAAGCAGACAGCCTCAGCACAAGGACTGATGATTATGGTAGATGAGATAGAAGATACAATCAGCATCCACTTATATATAGCTAAAGAGGAACTCAGTTTAACACCAACAGAAATTCTTTCCTTCTATTCATGGAATTATTTCTCTTCCTTTTCTCATAAAAGGCCATTGTCTTCACCCTGTAATTGGAATGCTGTTTGGGTATCTGCCTGAAACTGTGCTCCACAAAATTGCAATTCTTTTTTATCTCAAATAAATGCTTGGTGCTTTCATTTTGACATTTTATTTTTAGGTTAAAAATCAACAATAAAGATAGTTTTTTAAAACTGTACTCCTGATTAATAGGTAGATCAAAATGAAATATTTATAATGTGGAGTAAATGAAAAGACAGCAAATTAAACCTGTGGAATTAAGGCAAAGTAGGATAGAGACGTAAATTTATTAAAACAAAATAAGATGTATTTAAAATAGTTAAGCACTCAACCTTACCTGATATAAAGAAAAAATATTAAGTTCAAAGAAAGTAGAAGAGACTAACAGAGATAAGAGCAAAATGAACAGAATAGAAAACAAGTGCAAAAAAAAAAATGAAACAGTAGAGATTGTCCACAAAATTAAAAGCAATTTCTTTGAAAATATTGACAAAATATACAAGCTTCTAGGTACCAATGGAAGGGAGGGAGGGAGGGAGGGATTAGTTAGTAATATTATGAACAATAAGGAAGGCTAAAAAGGATGGGGAGAGAAGAGATTTGTTAGGGCGCTGGGTGAACCAAACAGTTCCAGGTAAGGCAGGACAATAAAGAAGACTCAAACAACCAAGAGCAGCATGAGGCGCTGAATCCTACATGGAAAATGAAATCACAGAGAATAAGAAAAAAAGACTGCAGAGAGGAGCAAGAAATGCACTAAAGTGAGAGGCAAGTGAAGAGCGGCATGAAGTAATCATGTGCTAGCTCTTCAAGTACAATGTCTTCTTTTCTAAAAAAAAACGGTAGCATTACATAAAATAAAATCAATTTAGAGTAAAATAACTTTATTAAGAACTATTATACAAGGTTAAATAATATAGCAGAAGGCTGAAAGTGAACTTCGTTGTTCTCACACATCTGAAGAGCTCATCAGCAGAAATCAGGTATTCATTAAGAAAGCCCAGCTCATCTTTCTCTAGAGAGGAACCCCTAACCCAACCTCCTACCACAGGTCACAGTCCTGATTTCATTTGTTTTATACATTTTAAAACACTGATTATTTTATTTCATTTTTATTTAATAAAAGTTTTCCTTAATAAAAATTATGTCAAATCTACCAATGAACTCGGTGTGTTGTTTTTGTATATTTTATTTACATGGATGTATGTACTTATTTATTTTAGACATATGTACGAGATTTATCAACACAGGGGTAAGTAAAAATGTGAAGTCAGTAAAAACAACAACAACAAAAAAAACAGTGCTCACATAAATATTCTTCCAGAAAAGTTCTTCTTGGAGATAGCCTTCCCCTGCCCCTTGGAGATCCTCTTTCCCCACCCAAGGCTCTCAGACTCTGCCCAAATGCTCTTGTGTTTTAATAGGGGGAGGTACATCTCTTGCCTTTAAGAAATAATATGCCTTTAAGAATATTAGCAGGCAGAAAATTTTGCTAAGGCTATGTAAAACAAGTTTTCCTAGTATCCTTAAAATTGCAAAATGTAGAACTGTTACTATTCTGTCAATTCCTTGGACCAAGAATGCCAATATATAGGCCAGGTGGTGAAATTTAATGTGTTTGGAGCCAAACATTAAATAATACATAATTCAGCTCTTCCTTCACACATGACCTCATTGCTCAACATAAAAAAAATCATAACGATCTCCCTTAAAAAATGGATCTATCCATGTTCCTCTTTTGATCAAAGTGTCAATGTTCACAAAATGATATGATAATTTACAATCCAAAGGTCCAATTCTAAGGCCCAGGCTGTTACTTACACAAGGGACGCAAGCTCCTTATTTCCTGTTCCCACCTCCACCACCCTCTGCTCTCCTCCTTCCTCAGCTTTGTGTATGCTTTTGCTGAATCTAAAACAAAGAACAAACTCCACACACAGGCTGGTGATTGTCAGAGGCTGGGGATGCAGAGTGGACCAAATGGATCGTTCAAAAAGTCCAAACTTTCAGTTACAGAGTAAATAAGTCACGGGGATGTAATGCACAGCATGGTGACCCTACGTAATAAAACTGTAGTGTATATCTGAGAGTTGTTAAGAAAGCAGAACTTAAAAGTTCCCATCACAAGAAACAAACTGTAACTATGTATGGTGATGGATGTTAACCAGATTTATCATGAACATTTCACAATCTATATGAATATTGAATTATTATGTTGTATATCTGAAACTTATGTTATATGTTAATTATATCTCAATTTTTAAAAAGAACCAATTAGTTAAGATATACAAACACAATTTAAATAAAATATTAAGAAAAACTACGTGGTGATTTTTTTTGAAAAATATATCTTTATCCAATAGCTTAAATAACATGACAGGAGAGGTTCTTCATTGATGGGGAAATTTAAGAATCAAAGTAATGAACAGAACAAGATCATGCTTGG